ATTGCATAAAAGGTACGAAATTTAAATTTTATCGCAGTATTTGCCGATAAATCGGTAATCGCTACAGAAAAACAGAACAAATTACAGTAAATCACAACGAACTACAGAAGCGGAAGTGGGACACTTTTTGTATTTTCACTGTAATGGATGAAGAGAAAACAAACAGTAATTCTAAAAGGGAAAACAATAATTTCGAAGCTGTTTCGAACAGGTTTCGAACGACACGTACTCAGTGTAAAATCTCACTGAAGTGGAAATTCTAAATCATTGCAGTAGAAAGTTCTTTGAATTGCCATTCAGTAGTAAAATAAAGGTTATATTATGGTTTCGCCATATAGTTGGTAAATTTAACGTGCAGTATACTGAAAAATTCCGGTATATCGGAAATTTCGGTATATCGGTATGGTTGAATATCCGGTATTGATATACCGATATTGATTTAATACCGATATTTTCGGTATATCGGTATACCGAACAGTCCTAATCGGTTAATGGTCCCTTAATGGTAGCAGTAGCAAGAGTGGAAGTCAAATGTGAAACTCTCCAATACATTGCAGGAAAACCTTTCTTCAATAAGTTGCTAATCTATACCTGCTATCTGTAACAGTAATAATATCTCCAGTTTTAAACGTCAGTTCATTGTCTTCTGCTGCTTCAAAATCGTACAACGCTCGAACTTTCCGTGACTACAAACACAATATTAATTATTTTTCTTTGCATGTCTTATAAATGAAAGATTACACAGACTGTATATATTGAATAACTGGTTTAATAACACACCTTTGATGTGGTTGATTGTGATGATGAAATAGATGGATATAAGCTTTGCGTCGTCTTAGGCTGAAAACAAGAAATATATTTGATCTTAAAAAGTGATGACGCTGTTATCTTTAACCAATTAAGTGCCAGCACTCTCCCCATGACGAGTAAAACTGTCTGGCATTAGAAAGAGCAAAATAATAAAGTAGGGTGCATCTGGTTGCATTGCCACTTAAAGGGTTAATTAAAGCATTTTGAGTCAAAATTATTTGGAGGTAATTACCTGACCAGATTTTGCTTCACTTAATGATAATTGGATAGCTACAGAAAAACAGAAATGATTAGGCGTAAAAGAAAAACCTGTGGTTCCGGTTCCCCACCGACCCTATTTTTTTCTGCCGACTCTATTATTTTTTCAACGCGATTGACCTACCGACCCTATTTTCCCCAGGTGGTTGCCGGCTGCTCATACAGCGTGCCAAAAAGGCGTCTGTTGTCACACTAATTATTGAACCAAATTGCCTAAATCCGTCCATAGGAAATACGCAACTCTAGTGAATATTGATTTCAGGACTCTACTGCAAATCGCCCAGCAAAAAACTGCCAAAACCATGAAAAAAAATTCCCAAAAAAATTTATTTCTGACCTACCGACCCTAATTTTTTCACGATATGAAACCGGAACCACAGGTATTTTTTTTTACGCCTTAGACAACTGTTCACACATTGCAGGACAACACAAGCATACATACATACATAAACTTAATTTAAACACGGAAGAAATCATCAGTACATCAAAACTATTGCTATTTACAAGTTTGCAAGTATAAAAATAAATACAATGAATGAGAAAGGGGAGAAGAGATAAAAAGGAAAGGGTACTGTTCTATCTGGTTGCCGTGTGGGAGTCGGTTAGTCTAGAATACAGTAATCCCAGACTACTTTTTCTTTTATTTAAACATACTTGAAATCATTTTCTCCAAGAGCTGAAGCTCATCGAGGGAGATCATGACATGAGACTACTTTTAAATGCCGCAACAGATGTTGATAATCTACAGTAAGGGATTCTGGCAAGTTGGTCCCGAGAAATGCACTATTAAACACCAGACAAAGTTACCTAAAGCTAAGTCATCGTCTTCGTTCGAGCTCGTTGTTTTCTTTGCAGGTGTCGAAGATAAACCAATGTTGGTTGACTTAGTTTCTGGGAATTCTTCTTTCTCACGTTTCAATTCTTCATATAGTGTTGGAATAAGACTGTAAAAAAATCATCTCAGATCTTAATAAGCACAGGAACCTGGAGGTCTTTGGTGGGTGGGTGGGGGGGGGGGTGTAAGGAAGGTGATGGGAAGGGACTCTCAACAACATGATTGGGGTTAACCACGAATATTTACCTCAACTGTGGGTCATCTTTGAATGTCTTTGCCCAATCTCGAATCATTCCTTTAAACTTCAGAGCTGCTGTTCGATGAAGCTTGAATAAAAAAATTAGTTATGTCAAGCACGTTTTTTGGAGCATGTTTTTTTCTGGTAAAGGAGTATTTACCTTTCTTATGAAGTTTCTAACTTCACCAACAAAGTCTCGTGAACACACTTCCAAATGAAACGGTTTGCCGCAGTTATTGACACAAGCATCAAGAATCTGAAGATAGAAATATAACCGTACATAAAGGATTCATGTGGCCAAGGGGTAAGTAGATTTTCTAAGGCTGTGCAACAGTGCAAGTTATGTAGGGGTGTAGATTGTCTAGGGGGAATTCTAGGGGTGCTAGGGGTATTAAAAGGTGCATTATCACAGACTAGAGACACACAGAAGGTTGACCTCTTGGTTTTGCTTATGATTTTGGCGTAACCGTTGCAAATGCTGATGATGGGGTCCTAGCCAGTGCGCTTAGGAATTCGCACTTTCTAGGACCATAGCATCAGCATCTTGATGATGAATCATGGCATGGTAGTGGTTATGCTTTTTTTGGCTAAGTCGACCTTCTGTGTGTCTCCATTCTGTGGCATTATAGAGCATTATTAATTAAAATAATTATTTGTGAGAATTAGTGACTAAAAATTGATCATCTTACTGTTAAAGCTTGCAGTGAAACTTGTGGTATTCGATGATTTAGTCTTTTCAATATTGATTTTAAAGCATCCTTGGGGCTGTAAGATATGAAGTAGAAGAAATATCAATATGATGCAGACTTGAGCATGTGACTTTTTTGTCAATAGAAATGTCACACAGAAATATGTTAACAGATGCCAGACTACAATGTTTTGGCTTGGGAGAAACTCTAAACTTTCAAATTATATATTCAAATTTTATGTTAGCCCATTGAATGGCAGCACTCTCCCCCTGTCAAGTAAAATCGTCTGGCATTAGACAGAATAAAATAACAAAGTAGGGTGCAATGGGTGCATTGTCATATAAAGGGTTAACTAAACTGACACTTTTATACACAGCATGCTTGAATCTTACACTTTGAAAACCATTTTTTGTTGTGTTAACTGTAATAAAATTTTTCAAAAAAAAATTTAACCTGTTGTGAAAGTGTAACATCTGTGTGGCCAAAACTATCAATATTTTGATATATCAATATTTTAATGGTTCAGTCAGCCAAATATTTAAAGGCCATGTCAACTCCGTTCATCAGTTCTGCTCATTAAACAAAGGGGGACCCACAGATATAAACATTGCCCAAATTTTGCATTTTTCGAACTTAAATTTTCAATTGAAACGCACTCTAGTTTATATTCATTTACAATTGTGAACCAGAAAAGTGTTAGATATTCAGTTAGCATGTCTTATTTTACAAATACAGCAGTTCAAAACGTAAACAAAGGTTTGTTCACATTACAGACTTGACATGGTCTTTAAGACAATATTTATAAGCCGATTATTGTAACTAATCGGCCGATTAATCGGTACCAACCGATTATTTTAAAAAGCAAGCGAAAAATCACAAGATGACCAACAATGAAGTTGTAAATGCGGTTTTATTGTTTACAATACACACTTTGTACAATTTAAAACAGCTTCAGTCTCTCATGTCAATAGTCAAAGTTTAGTTTTGGCAGATTATGGTGTAAAAACAACTAGTGAAGGCACTGTCAGCTATGCGTCCGAGCTAGTCTGCTGCCTTTTTTTAGTGGAAATGTTCCCAGCTTCACTTCGCTTGAGACAAAAGACACAGAGACAAAAGATCTATTCGCTTGTATTCAGTATTTTAGCATGTGATCGGCAGCTGCAGAAAAAGTCTTATGGCCGATTATTTGCCGATTATCAGGCAATAATCGGCCGATTACCGATTATTTAAAAAACGGCCGATTAATCGGCTTTGCCGATTATTTACCGATTAATCGGCTCATCCCTATTAGACAGAGTATAAAATAATAATTAAAGTAGGATGCACCGTGGTGTAATGCAAGTTGATAGGTTAATATAATAAGTTTTTAATTTACAAACATATAAAATATAGTATATTTACTCTTACCCAGCTAAAAGGATACTCTGCTAGCAGGATAATTTACTCTATACTCAAATACACTGTATACAGTGTATAATAAAAATATGACGTATATATACAATACTGTATTATATAAATACTGTATGTATAAAATTATGTAATGAATGTCATTTGGCCAGGTGACAATATAAAATTCTAACATACTATTTATAAACCACATATTGATATATTATTGATAAAACTCGAATTTACCCAGTAGATGAACGCGAGACTTCGTCACATATATTCATAATTTTGCTCCAATCTTCGCTGGTATTATTTTCCGAGGTCGCTCTTTCTACAAACACAAAATACAGGAACACATTTGTCATTAATTCCCAGCCATTGTTACGAAACGAAACCCATCAAAAAACGACATGAAGAATTCGCTGGATTTTAAGCACTTACCAACGATATCGTCGAAAGGCGAAAAGCCTGAGTAGAACGGCATTCTTTCTGCTTTATAGAAATGGTTTTAAATGAAGGATTTTTGGGTTAGAAAGCCGAGAAAAGTGAAACAAAGTAGAAAATATTTTACGATTATCACTGTATATAAATTATGTTTAATTAAAGACAACAATACATAGTAAATATGCGAGCATGAGCTTTGTTGTATTACCGCTGTTCCATGACTCATTATTTCAGACGTAATTGATTACGCAATTTCCGCATTTTAAAAGACGTAATTGATTATTACGTAATAGTGAGCTTAAGCAAGTGACGTTTTTGACAACACGAACGGCATGAGTAACGTCAGAAGACTGGGTCAAGGGTTGTGATTGGTGAAAAACGTCAATTTTACTTCCGGTCGACGTCCGTGTTGTCAAAAACGTCACTTGCTTAAGCTCACTAATAACGAAACGCCACGTCACTTTGTCAAATGACATCATTATTTCGTACCGAAATGCCAGACTTTGGCCTCGTAAGCCCTTCATCTCCGTCAACAAGCTCGGATTCGTGCCGCCATTGCCCGATTATAATTTCAGCGCAGTCATCCAAGTATAAATTACACAATAAAGTTCGTTTAGTTTAGGTTTCCTCCTATAAGCACTGGATCAATATTAAAGATAATCCTTACTAGACCTTCTTAGTAGGGAGGACATTTTAGAACTGATAGAGTTATCCAGTAAATAAAGTTTGTTTAGTTCAGGTTTCCTCCTGCAGTAACACGGGATCAATAAGACATAAGTATTGCGGACACGGAAAAAAGTAACTATATATCTAAAAAGTTTTAAAACTCTAATTTAAAACCTTTAACTACAACTACATAACATCACTGAGCCACTACCTATAAACGTCTGTTTATCAGTTTATATATTGTTTTCACTTAGTGGAACAATGCAGTACATATAGTGGTCAATTCTAGAAGGAAAGTTATCAGAGTGACTATGTTGTTTACTCTATGTATTCATCTTGTGTTTGGTGGCAAATTATATGCGATGAAAAGATTTGGCATCATTTTTCTTACCCTACGTGTCAATACATTTGTTGACCACAATATGTAGCATCATACAAACGCAGAACTATACGACATTTACAAAAAAAAAAGTTAGAAAACTACACTATCATAGGTATGCGTATTAACATAGAATTCGGTGTCTAAACTACAGGATATGCGTCCTTTTAAAAGAACTCGTTGTCGTCTCCAGGGGCGTCGAGATCCCGATACTGGACGATAGGACGTGGGTCGTGTCTTTGACCTCCACCGCTGAAACTCCCCCTAGGGAGGAAATACAGGAGTAAATATTTGAATGACAACATGAGAAATCTGAAGTAGAGCTGGTCAGAGAGACATGATGGAATGAAGAGATCAGAAGAAGATGTGGGGTGGTAGACATTGCAGAGAAGGTGAGGGTAGCAAAGTTGAGATGGTATGGACACGTAATAAGAAGAGATGAAGGAGAGCTGGTCAGAAACATTATGGAATGAAGACATCAGAAGAAGATGTGGGGTGGTAGACATTGCAGAGAAGGTGAGGGAAGAAAGGTTGAGATGGTATGGACACGTAATAAGAAGAGATGAAGGAGAGCTGGTCAGAAACATTATGGAATGAAGACATCAGAAGATGTGGGGTGATAGACATTGCAGAGAAGGTGAGGGAAGCAAGGCTGTGATGGTATGGACATGTAATAAGAAGAGATGAAGGAGAGCTGGTCAGAAACATAATGAAGCTGGAGATAAAGTCTTTACCTGCGTGGTTTTTGAAATCCTCCTCTGTTGTAATGATCTGAACGGAATTGATTGTTATAACCGCCACGGTTACCTGTAGGCAGTAATACACAACATATCACTCAGGTTCAAGTCAATATATTTTGGTCTCTTAACAAATATTCACAATTTCAAACAGCCTCTTCAAGTAAGATGATTTGTTTCTGGAATCAAATCTTGCCACTTACCGTAATGCATACCACGGCCCCAACCTCCCTGGTTGTTCTGAAAACCAGAATGTTGTGCCATTCCCCCCTGGAAACCTTGCTGTACGGGAGTGTTCGGTACGGGAGCTTTCGCCACAATCTCACTTGGACGGCTTGGATCGTACACGAAGTTATTGAAGAAAGTCACCTTAGAAAATTTATTAAGAAAAGTATAAATTGTTATGCTACAATCTTGGCGAACATTCTGTCGGCACTTAGCTGTAAACTAAGTTACATTTAGGACATATTGGCATATTTGTACACACGAAAAATCTCACAACTTGTCAACAAGATGTGTTCACAACAGGCTTGTAGCAAACTTGTCAACAATTTGTAACAATGCTGTTATTTTATCAAGTTGCTACAAGGTTGTCACTTACAACTTGTTGACAAATTATTGAATTGCAGGACGATAACGAGTTGTTGGAACAGCATTGCTACAAGTCTGCTGCAGGTTTGTTACAACTTGTGTGTTTTTACGTGTGTAGTCACATCATACTGTTAATTCACAATAGTTTAGCTACTATACTACCGGCCTACACTGAAAACAAACTGTTTGAAGTTTCGGTCAGTGATAATGCATGTAAGCAAACTGAAATGTCTCTGAACATTTGTAACACGAACATAATCAAGTGATGTTCACGAGTTGCAGAGCAGAGTATTTCTTTAGCACAGATTTTGAAATAAATCAAGTTGTAGGCATAAAAAGGCCTAAACTTGAGCCGACTGTGCCGTAAAATGTGCTAGATAGATAGAGTTATCCAGTATAAATAAGGTATAGTTTTAGGTTCCTCCTGTAGTAACACTGGATCAATAAGAGATGATCCTTCCTGGACCTCTAGGGAGAACAGTTTAGAACTGATAGAGCTATCCAGTATAAATAAAGTAAGTTTAACTTAATTTACATAAAGATTCAAGATAAATCCCATACCTCAGTTTTGACTTCATCTACTTTATCTCCATGTTTATTAAAGATATGTTTCTGAATAAACTCCGGGCCTCTGAACTTCTTGCCACTCAAAGGACATAACCATTTATCCTTTGCCAGCTCCTGGGTATTAGCTTGCACGAACTTTTCCAATTCCGTGAATATAAATTAAGGAAATATGCAGTGGTGTAAACTCTGGCGTGGAGGTCCAGTGTAGGTTGTATTCTACAATAATCTGCCGTGGTTTGTGTCTGAACTACCTGAAAACAATATCTCAAACGTGGTGGTCCAGTGTAGGTAGTATTCTACAATAAGCTATCGTGGTTTGTGTCTGAACTACCTGAAAAAGATCTCTCAAACGTGGTGGTCCAGTGTAGGTAGTATTCTACAATAACCTGTCGTGGTTTGTGAATGACAAGAAGCCGCTGGACCCGGGACAAGATTAGAGTAAAAAAGGATATTGTTCTTCGTCTTTCTTTCCTAACCGCGCGGCTTCTTCAGCTGCAAGAGTTTCTTTCTTTTGTAAATGTTGATCAAGTTTCTGATGTAAGTTCTTATGCCAATCCGTAACTAGAAAAACACAGATAAAAATATATCATGCAAGTTGTGTACGAAACCTAAACTAGTTCTAAACTGTTCTCCCTAGGGATCCAGTAAGGACATCTGATAAAACACTGCTGCTCATGTTTTAAATAGTACATACAGTAGGGCTCAGTATTCATACCTTCCTCATAATTCACTTTGTCAGGCAGCGGAGCTCGGATATGAATGATGCCACATCTATTAGGCATGTCATCCTCGTACAAGTACTCAGCTCCACTGTAGTAATCCAGCGAATGTACAATACGCAAATACAGCAGTAGCTTATCGAGTAGCTTCACTAGGCCTTCGTCAATCTCGGGAGGCGGGTGCTCGGAACCTTCCAACCCCGGAACTTTGTTACCCTCGGAAGTTTCGTACTCGGGTAATTCACCCTGATTCTTATCAGCATTCTCGGAGATTGTCGCCAATTTCTCGGAGATGTTCGAAGGTAGGGTTTCTAAAACCGGATTACTTTGAGGCATGTCGATTTTAGTTACTATTTTAGACGGTTTCTTTTCGATCTCTGGAGCTGTAGCACCGCTTTCAGATGTATTCTGTAAGAAATCAGTTAATTAATTAGTTTATTTATACTAGATACCTCTATCAATTCTAAACTGTTCTCCCTAGAAGTTCAGTCATAGGGTTCAGTAAGGATTACCTCTTATTGATCCAGTGTTACTACAGGAGGAAACCTAAACTAAACTAACTTTATTTATACTGGATAACTCTATCAGTTCTAAACTGTTCTTCCTAGAGGTCCAGTAAGGATCACCTCTTATTGATGCAGTGTTACTACAGGAGGAAACCTAAACTAAACTAACTTTATTTATACTGGATAACTCTATCAGTTCTAAACTGTTCTTCCTAGAGGTCCAGTAAGGATCATCTCTTATTGATTCAGTGTTATTACAGGAGGAAACCTAAACTAAACTAACTTTATATATACTGGATAGCTCTATCAGTTCTAAACTGTTCTCCCTAGAGGTCCAGTAAGGATCATCTCTTATTGATTCAGTGTTATTACAGGAGGAAACCTAAACTAAACTAACTTTATATATACTGGATAGCTCTATCAGTTCTAAACTGTTCTTCCTAGAGGTCAAGTAAGGATCATCTCTTATTGATGCAGTGTTACTACAGAAGGAAACCTAAACTAAACTAACTTTAGTTATACTGGATAGCTCTATCAGTTCTAAACTGTTCTTCCTAGAGGTCAAGTAAGGATCATCTCTTATTGATGCAGTGTTACTACAGAAGGAAACCTAAACTAAACTAACTTTAGTTATACTGGATAGCTCTATCAGTTCTAAACTGTTCTTCCTAGAGGTCAAGTAAGGATCATCTCTTATTGATGCAGTGTTACTACAGAAGGAAACCTAAACTAAACTAACTTTAGTTATACTGGATAGCTCTATCAGTTCTAAACTGTTCTTCCTAGAGGTCAAGTA